TTTTAAGATTTTAGTTACTAAACTAAACAGATTTATTAGTAGTCATAAGTATATTAAATATATGGTATGGGTAATCCCTAATGAGTTGGCTTACGTTTTTAAGTATTTAAACAAATGGAAATGGACCCAGCTTTGAACTCACTTTCGACCTCAAAGCCCAGGCCCCCTGTAGGCCCCGTCAATTGTCTGGTCACGCACAGCCCCAAAGAATACCCCGGGGGATTCGTTCTCGATACTATGCAAATGTCGAGTATTCTGTTTTAGTTATGTGCAAATTTATTGTTTATAAAAAGCGGCAGCTGAGGGCAGGCGGAGAGCGATTGCTGCCATTGTGTGTGCTGTGTGCCTCTTCTTATTTATTTATTTATTTATTTTTTTTTTTTGGCGGTGTTTGGGGAGTTTTTGCGAGCCCTGCTGGGTGCTGTGCCTGGTGCTCTATCAGCAACTGGTTTTGGGTTACCCGCACGCACACCGTCTCCGAGGGCAGACGAGATGCAGCGGCGATCACATAATTCGTGTTGCTGCCTCATCATTCTTGTGCTTTTCCAAGCCGCGTCCCCGGATCGGGCTCTGAGGAGGAAGACGCTTTTTGCCAAGTTTATTTTTATCAACAGCGGCAGCCGAGGCAGCATTTTGCTGCTGTTGCATGATGGATCCACGGAGAGAAATTACAAATTCTGCATTTGCATTTAAAGTGCTGGTGAAATGGTTAGGTTTTTATTATGTTTCTAGTGTATAAAGCACTGTTAGTACCTGCGCATCCAACCGAGTCGATTACTTCTAATTCATAATTCATCATCGTAAAAAGAAGACGTAATACCATGACCGAATCTAATAACAATTTTTATTACATAATATAATATTTTAAATTCCGATTTAAATACAAAATAAAGGAGAGGAGAAGACAGATCTTTCTAAATATTTGTTCTAGTAAATAATCACTGAATAAAATCCAATTTAAAATCTAATGTTTTATGCATCTTATAAATACTATTGGCCTTATTTTTCCAATACTTTTTTTTGTTCAGTGTCCTGCTTAAGTCCCTTTCCCGATCCCCGGCTGCTGTGTGTATCTGGAGACGTAGATGGAGCAGGAGATGGAGTCCAGCATCTCACGATCTTTAACATGTTTTGTCTCGATCAGTGAAATCATTCAATCAGAACGGTCAGCGTCGCTTCTTCGTTCGGTCGTTGGCAGGAAAAAAGGACACAAGTACTCACACACACACACACACACACACTCGCCTTTCTTGTGGTTGTAAATTATATAAGGTTAGGCCAGATCTGGTTTTGTGCTTTTATAAGGAGGCCTCCTATCCCAACTCCGAGTCCCAGTCCGATTCGAAGCGATTGAAAGTGTTAGGGAGCTCTTCTTTTTGTGCCTTGTAATGCTGCCATCAGCTCCTCGATTCTGTGGGTATATCGCAGCGACGATATCTGTATCTGTATCGTTATTATGCAGGATCGGCGGGGCTGCCCATCAGTCGGAACGGTAGCCGCCAATTTATGACGCCCAGGGAAGTGGGTCTCGTGTTCCCAAAACCCTTGCCCAGGACGGGTCCATAAAGCATGTTTTTAAAATTCCATTAAAATTTATTAGCATTTCACACAAAATGTGCATAAATAACCCAGCTGAAGTTCGGGACTTTTTGATAATTCGGAGAGGGGCCCTCCTCCCTTACGGCACTTTAATGATAAAAAATTGGCCATCGCCTCTCACCTGAGCCTGCTGGGATTTTGAATCGATTTTCGTTTTCTGTGTTTCGAGTTTCGTAAACTCCATAAATTCGAGGGGCTGGGGCTGCTGGGGATGCTCGATAAACAATTTATGCGCAATGCTGTTTGCTTTCCCCGCCGCCCTTTGTTTATGCACGCATTATCTAAACAAATACGAAAATACGAAAATAACTCATTAAATGCAACGGCCATAAAACATGAACGTTTTCGTTTCGTGTTCGTAAACGGGAAATTAGAGTTAATGCAATCCCGATCGCCCCCTCGTCACCACTTTCTGCCCCGCCAACGGGCCTTGGCTTTGGGCCCAGATCCGAGCATGTAAATAATTTGACAGGAGAGCGATCTCGTAGCTATGCACTATGGAAAATATTTAACCATTTTTTTTTTAACATAACACATTGTAATTATATATCCCTAGGCAGATTCTAAATACAAATGATTTGGCTATCTACATAATTAACATATGTAGCTTTAATACAAAACATTAGTTAAAACTTAAGATGATTGCCTGAATTATTATTGAATATTTTATATTAAGAACAATGAATACAACTTTAAAAGTAAATAGTTTATTACCTGACCGTTAATTTTATATTTGCAATATTTTAGTAGCATTAAGTATTCTTAAATCGTTAAAATTCAAAGTTTGAATTTCAAATATAAAAATTGACACATCTAAAAAACATTTGTTCCAAAATATCTTTTAAAATCCCCACAGTGCAACAAGTGCAGGGAGAGCACAACTCAAGTGCACGCCGGGAGTTTCGGAGAGAGAAAGATACTGAGAGAGAGAGAGGTGGTATCCGAGAGCTAATAAACAAAGAAACAAAGAAACAGAGTGAGAATTGTATCTGAAAGTGGAACTCTTCCCACTATTTTCAGGTGCGATCGGGTTAAGAACCGAAACCATCCCAAAGTTCCTTTTCTTCTTTCTTTTTGTTCTCTTCTTTAATGGATATAAAGGCTTTGTCAAGATGTTGGTTACGCTTGTAAATAATTATTAAATTTATAAATAGGTATGAAATTATTTAAGTATTATTTTTAGAAATATAACATTATTTAAAAAATATAGCATCTCAATTCCGTTTTGTTTAAGCAATAATTTAGCTAATGATGATATAATTAAAATGAAAAGTGGTTTTAAATCAAAGAGACATTTCGCTTTGATCACAATAACTAAATAAATAAGGTAAATAGAAAAGTTCTTCAACGAATTTTCCTCGTTCATCCTGCTGCAGTTTTCTTCTTATTAAAATATCTGTGTGCGTTGCGACTGGAGTTTTGTGAAAAACATTAACCTGATTAGACTAATTAATATTATATATCCTAAAATTTGATAGGGAGCAGGCAAATCTCGATAACAACTAAGTATTCAATATGAAGGTGCTTAAAATTAAAATTCAAACAACTATTTTACAATATAAAGGGACATGATAGATTAACTAACAACCAATTATAACAAAACCACAGAAAAGTGATTGTATTTAAGAGTAAATTAACAATTCAGTGACATTATAAGGGTATTCAAAGGCTCGGTCTGGCAAGTCAACCTTTCCCTTCGCTCGGATTTTCTTTTGTGCTGCTTGTAATGCAAAGCGCATCAGGCTCTGCCGCGGTCTCTGCCTCAGTCACAGCCTTAGTCTCTGCCTGGGCCGGCGTCGTTCTTGGTGGCTTTGTCGAGATTCCTGGCTGGCCGGCGGCTATAAATGACAGGTGCTGGCCATTTCACTTTTAGTCTCGAGGTGACGACGCAGGCGCAATGGACCGCTGGCTGAGCAGTAAGTTATGGAGCCAGGAAGCCTGGGTGGGACCTGGGCCACTCCCAACTAACCTACCCTTTTTTCGCCCGCTAGTTATACTTCTGGGGGCACTGCTGGTCCTGATCTCTGGGCCGGGCGGCCAAGGCAACACGATCAAGGAGCGCAACCTCTTCGCCACAGAGCTGTTCCAGACACTGGCCACCGATCGGCAGGAGGAGAACGTGATCATTTCGCCGGTGTCCATCCAACTGGCCCTGGGTTTGGCCTACTATGGAGCTGAAGGCAGGACGGCGCAGGAGTTGCAAAAGACGCTGCACGCCTCGGCCAAGGAGAGCAAGGACGGGCTGGCCGAGAGCTACCACAACCTGTTGCACTCCTACATCAAGTCCAAGACGGTGCTGGAGATCGCCAACAAGGTCTACACCCGGGAGAAGCTGAAGGTGTCGGACCACTTCCGGGAGGTGGCCCAAAAGTACTTCGATTCCGAGGTAGAGCCTCTTGACTTCAGCCGCGAAACAGAGGCCGTTGACAAGATCAACCGGTGGGTTAAGCAGCAGACGCAGGACAAGATCGAGCGAGTGGTGGACAGCCTGGAGCCGGACACCAACGTGGCCCTAGTCAACGCCATCTACTTCAAGGCCCGCTGGGCCCGGCCCTTCAATGACGAAGACACCCGCGACCGGGAGTTCTGGCTGAGCGAGCGCCAGTCTGTCCAGGTGCCCACGATGTTCGCCGACAACTGGTACTACTACGCCGACTACCCCGAGCTGGACGCCAAGGCTATCGAGCTGTTCTTTGAGAACATCAACCTGACCATGTGGTTCATCCTGCCCAACCAGCGCTCCGGCCTGCAGGCTCTGGAGCAGAAGCTAAAGGGCGTTGACTTCAAGCTGCTCGAGGAGCGCTGGCAGTGGCAGAGCGTCTCGGTCTACCTGCCCAAGTTCAAGTTTGAGTTTGACACCGACCTCAGGCCAACGCTGCACAAGGTGAGTATGGCTAGAGGGGAGTGGAAAAGGGTCACCGTGTGACATGATAAGATCTTTGGCAGGGTAATTTACGGTTCTCAAATTAGAGGGAGACCTTTTGTTTCAGCTTCGATTCCCATTAGCTTAGTTGGAATATTTAAATATTTTATTAAAATCTCCGTAGATGGGAATCAGCGCCATGTTTTCGGATGCCGCCGATTTCAGTAACATTTTCCAGGACTCGCCCATCGGCACACGAATTACCAAGGTGCAGCACAAGACCTTCATCGATGTGAACGAGATCGGATGCGAGGCGGCCGGAGCCAGTTGTAAGTGGAGACTCAAAGGGAATTTCTAAACGTAACTTTTACTTAATCTTTTGAATTTTTGCAACTGCACACAGATGCCGCAGGGGTGCCCATGTCTCTGCCCTTGGACCCGAAGACCTTTGTGGCCGACCACCCGTTCGTGTTCATCATTCGCGACAAGCACGCGGTTTACTTCACTGGCCACATCGTCAAGTTTTAGCCTTAGCATATATAATCAGCACTGCTACATTTTATTTATACTAAGCTCTTGAATCTGTAATTATCAATCATCAATCAATAAATACGGACATCCTCCGCTAGAGATCAGAAATCCACTGATTTGCAGGGCTGGTGCTCCAAGCCCTTGCTACACTGGCCTTCGTGTAGAAACATGAACACTAAAGGGTATAGACAGATTAGATAGTAATGGTATTTATGCGGCTACGGAGGGATTCTTACTGGGCTTGCCCTCGGCATGACGGGCACAGTTGATGGCCAACATCGAGCAGTATTCCATGTCCAGGTAGCAAGAGTACTGCAGGGCGCAGACCGGACGTCCTCTGAAGCCCGGCGGGCAATTGTCCAAGCAATCCGCTGAGATTCTGCGTAACAGGACTGCAGCTGCAAGAGATATCGGTTAGAGGCTTCTGTAGGTGCGCAGAAAGTGATATACCCAGGAATATATCCAAATGGAGCTTCATTTTTCTATCAACCGGTCTCGGCAGGCCGTAACAATAGCAATAGCTCCCCAGGCTGAGGTTCCCCTTTCGGACTGAAAGGCGTGTCAAATCCATTGTTTGAGGTGAAAATCCAATTACGGACCCATATATAACCATCGAATATGCAAGTCACACAAAGCCTGTTAAGCACACGGAGATATTTCATAATAATAATCGTTGCCTGGTGGTCTGTCAGCGGGCACTTTAATTTCCCTGCTCGAAAGCCAAAAATAAACACTGGATCGAGAAACATAAAACCCCGAATGTTGTCGAAGTCAATTGCAATATTTAACTCGAAAACGACAAACAGAACGTGCGACCCAGAAATTAAGCGAAAGAGTTGGGGAAAATAAGCAACTGCGATGCAACTGCGGAGATCGACAACTGGACGCTTTAACCCTTTGAGTTCCCCTTAATCCCTTTCTCAATCGAAATCACGGAATAAAAGTCGGTGATATTCCTATTAAAGTACATAGCAGTTGATATAAAAATTAACCGAAATATTTGTTAAATTATTTTGCCTAACAAAAAAAAGAAACAATCCCCATTTTGTTTGGTCTCCAAACAACTATCAATAAAATGTGCAAACAATATTTTCTTTTTAATGTTGTGAATTTCTATAAATTTTTAATACATATAATTACAACAAAGCCCCCTTGACTTGGCCCAATGGCTTGCAAAAATAAAGGCAAAGGAGAAAAACAGATAGTAGAACCATAATAAGGCAGTACTCCCTGATCCCGGATCCCGGGATTAGCTAAATGAACTGTCAGCTTGCGGGAAACTCGTTTGCACTGCACTTGTGGCATTTGTTCCAAAAGCGCCTGCGCCTTGTGCTGGGCCACTGGGCAGCGTGCACCTGCTGCAAGTGCCCCTCGCTGGATGTCTTTTTGCCTCTTTAGAATTCCGCTCGCGAAGCGCAGCAACAAAAGAAACGTAGAAAACTTGTCGCGGGGGCAAAGGCGAGCAGTTCTAACAAAGGGACGCAGTGCAGCCCCGAAGTTTCGGGAGGGAGCGCACCTGGAACTGTTCCCAGGTTCCCCAATCTGTTCCCAATATTATCTCGCCCCACCAGTATTTGCACAGAGAGCACTGCCAAGCGAGAGAGACAGCAACGGTGGTGAAGTCAGTGCTGTCAGAAACTCGCAAGCAAAAATTGCTGGATAAACCATTTTTTAGAAATTGCTACAAACTATTTATTTTCAACTAAAATAATGTTTTATTCATAAATGTTATATTTTTTAACAAATGGAAATTTTTTTTAATTTGGTAAACCACCTTTTCTTATATAAAAAAAAACTCTGTGCCTATTAGTGCCATCCATGGGAATCAATTAATAGAACTTAAATCATGCAACCTGAATTCATAAACATTTGGCTAAAAATTTAAATCGAATCCCAATACAAACCAAAAGTGTGGGAAACGCTTTTTATTGAAAATTGAAAATCAAATAAAGTACAAAAAACAAGAATTCTACAAAATAAATAAAATATAACTTTGAAATAAAATTACTAAAAAATTAAACTTAAGTGTTCTAGGTTCGGGTCTAATGGCATTTAAAAAAAAGTTGTTTTTTTTTTTAAGGTACTAGATCTAGCCACTAAATTGCTTAAGTGGCAGCACTGTGGCGGAGTTCGGCGTGCGGAGTCGTTGGGGCCGCGCGCCAGCAGTCGCTTTCAGTCTGTTGATCACCTCGGACGCCTGATCGAGACCAGGCTGCGCGCATGCGCGAACGGTTTTTAAACGTTACGGAACAAACGGAAAGGAACGGCAACTGCCCCCGCATTTTGCGCATTTTCGCTTATCAAGTGCCGAGGATCGGGATTCAGGAGTCGGAAGTCGGGAATCGGTGGAGCAGACGTGCGTGTGTGTTGGTGTCGGTGAATGTGCAACGGTGATTTCAAAGCGAGCTGCCACTGAAACCCCACCCTGGCTACCCTGCCGAAATGTCCCCAGAGCCATGCATAAATACAATTAGGCCGTGCGCAGAAAAAGGCAAAGCTAATTCGCTAATTCGGATCGCGAACCAGTTTCAGGCAGCCAGCGGCCGGCACAGGCCCTCCGCGGATTATTCGGCGAGCGCGCCAAGCAATATTGAAAACGCCTAAGCTCAAATTGTTGTCAGTTGTTGGTTCGGCTTTTGTTGATTTATGCGCGCGATTAAAGGAAACAACCGGCCGAGAAACCGCAGAATAAGATAATAAATAAATGAGTGTGATGCCAGAAGGCAGCAGCGGTCCCTCCGCCCCCAAGTGTCACCAGTGAAAACCAAACCCCGTGAATGCAAATCAAGCGAAAAACAAAGGTTGATACAAAACCACCGATAAGGATACATACAAGGATAAATCTAAGACCGCCGTCCCGCCGACATGGATAACCCAAATCAAGCGCCCGTGGAGTTAGAAAGGTGAGAGCCAGTCCCGAAATCCACGAGACTCTTAAAACTCGTTAAGTGTCAGATGGAACCATAAATTAAATTATTTTTTATATGCCTGAAATTTATTGATATTTCACTGTTTTAAACATCGAGTTGACAGAAGAATTAGCACTTTGGCTAATGTCTTTGGAGTCTAGACATAGGCGTAGTTGGCAATGTGTCCAATGAAAACGATCGAGTCCTTGTACTTGATGGCAAACACAAAAGGATGGTCCGCCTCGAACTTCTTGGATCGCGAGAAGAGACCCTTTAGCACTGGTTGAAAAACAAAAAACAAAAGATAATTCAGTTAACAATTATGTTAAAGCCTAAGGCGGTTAATTTACGGTGCAATCTTACCTCCAGTTTCCAGGGGCTGTTCCACACCAGCCTCTGTCACCTCCACGTTGGCCTTGTGCTCCACAGCGTTGATGAAATGGCTAACGAACATTCGGTACATGTTGCCAAAGTCGCCATCTCTCGAGAACATTGTGTGGACGCCCAACTATTGAATAAAAAATGCAATTAATGACACAACAATTATTTGGTATAAATCATTAAGAATTAATATAAAAAAAGATTGTCAAATTACCCTGAAAACAACATCAGCAAGTTGACATTTAATATATTTTAGTGGTAGTAGAAACCGCAAAGAAAAACATATATCACCCACCTGCTTAAAGGCACCCTCCAATCCCACGCCGAAGGTCACGCTAAACTTGGGCAGCAGCACCTCCACCTTCTGCTGGCTCATGCCCCCGATCTCGGCCAAGAGATTCTTGCCCGCCAGGGACTGCTGCAGGGACCTGAGTCCATCCTTGCGGTTCGGCAACAGCAGGAGCATGGAGAAGTCGGCGTTCTGGTAGGGCAGCTCCACGACCTTGGCGTCCAGGGAACGAACTTCGGCGTAGTTGAAGTTTTGCAGAGTCCACATGGTGTCCACCTTCACGGACTGCCCGTTGCCAGTGCGGAAGGAACGCTTCTCAGTCTTGTCCAGACGGAAGGCCTTCTGCCAGGCTGCAGAGTATGAGACTCCGTTGACGATCACGCCCTCGGTGCGATCGTTAAGCAGCTCAGAGCGCAGGATATCTGTGATTTTGCCATTGGTCTTGGTGGCTACCGCTCGATTGATGGCGTCCGCCGTGCGCTTGTTGTACGGCGGATGGAAGTCTAACTTATCGATGTTCGAGTCGAACTGGCGCTGGGCCACGTCGCGGAAGGAGCCCTTGAACTCCAGGTTCTCGTTAATGTAGATGTTGTTGGCCAGGCGGAAGTTGTTGTCACGGGTCAGGGACTGCTGGTGGCTGCCACTACGCTGGCTAACGGCGTCCGCGTCCCCGGGCCCCAGACGCAGGCCCTGCTGCAGCTCTGAGGCGGTCTGACCCTTGGCCCCCACGAAAGCCAGTGCCATGGAGCTCTGGATCGTGGCCGGCGAGATGACCAGGTTCTCGTTTAGACGGTCGGCAGCTACGGCGTTGTAGAGGTCGGCGGCCAGCAAATTGCGGTCGACGGCGGCGTCATAGCCGGTGGTTTTGGCCTGCGACACTGTCGCCAGGAGTACTGAAGGAATAGAGTCAGAACCCGGCATTAGAAGCAATTCATTCGCAAGCTCCGCCCCCTGGAGAGTACACACAGAGAAAAATTATCTCACATTCCGTTAAACTGCGGAAATCGCACCTCCAGGTATAAAATAAATAGATCTAGCTTAGAATTCCAGATTAAACCAAATCACTTAACTCGCCGAAAAGATCTGAATAAATTAGATTTTCGGAGGTCTTTGCTTCACTCAAACATATGATTTCGATTGTGTTGCCTCAAGTTGGAGGAAATCGCTCTAAATTTCAGTAGACTTTCTCACTGTGCACGAACCAGATCGCTAATTGGGGCTTACGTAATAGGCAGCTGATGATGACAGCCATGGTCGTCGCGTAAATAGCCGATGGGCGTCTCCTGGTCCGCTTGATTCGCAGCACTTGGGACTTCTCCGAGCTCGTCGGAATGTGAACTGAAATCGAGGCGGCCGCCGAGTGGCTCTGGAGGCTGCTCCAGGTCGCATTCGGACGACGCAACTCTCGGCCCCGAAAACAGACAGCTTCGTGTGTATGTGTGTTTACAAATCATTTGTCACCTTTGGCTTGCCGCTGGTGAATCTGTTTATTTTGAGCGATTGGAGAGGGCCTGATAAGGCGATAACCCCGGCAAGAGCTAGCATTGGAATCGAATATTAAGTAACTCAGATGTCCACGATGTGGCCGGCCAGCAGCAGGGTCTTGTCATTGCCGATGGCGTAGAAGAACGGGTGATTGATGACCAGGGGCAGGGCTCGTCGAAACAGATCCCCAAAGGCTGCGGGAACAATAAGAGCGGGTTGGGGTTACATGGCCTCTGAGCCTCACTAAGCCTACATCACTTACAGAATGGATCGCCGGCGCTGCCGCCTTCCTCCTGGATCTGAAGCAGGCTGCTCTGCACCACCGCTCCCAAGGGGGGAGCCGAGCTGGACAGGAGAGAGCTAAATACCTCACTCAGCTGGATCTCCGAGGTGAAGAGCTTGGCCAGGCCCACCTGGAAGAGGGATTGCGGCACAATAGAGTCAGTTTCAGTGTCATTAATGGGAAATTACTTCTTGATTAAGAGATTTGTATAGGGAAACTTAACTTTGATTTGCTCTTCTACTCTATATACTCCCATTGAGTGGTTTTTTGTAACAACTTCTAAGATTAACTAGCACCCTCTGATGGTACTCACCTCCTTTAGCACTGCCGTTAGCTGGGAGTGAACCAGGACCCTAAACTTGGGCAGGGTAAGGGCCACCTTCCGCTCCTCTAACTGCTCCCTCAGCTGCTGCAAGTCGGACTGTGCCAACTTCCTCTCCAGATGGGCCAATCCGTCGGCGCGATTCGGGAAGATGACAAGCAACCGCAGATCGGCTGTGGCAAACGGCACCTCGATCAGCTGGGCATCTAGGGCCTGTACTTCTGCGTACTTATAGCGATGAATACCGAACATGGCATCCACTAGCCTGGGCCGGTTGCCCAATGCGAAGAAATTGATGCTCTGCGTCTCCGCCGGATCAAAGGCCTGCGCCCAGGGAGCACGGAATGTCAGCGCCGAGACGTGTAAGAAGGGAGTGCCGTGCTCGGACAGAGACTCTAGCTGCGATTCACTGACCAGCTCCCCTAGGCTAAAGTTGCTGCGGCTAAGATACTCGTAGTTGATGTCTTGGGCCGCCTTTGAGGCACTCTCCCAGGCCAGGCGATGGCAACCGACTCCGAGGCGAGAGGCTTGGGCCTCGAACTCGTCGCGGAAGCTGAAGGTGAAGCGCTGCTGGGTGTAAAAGTCGCTGAGCAACCGCAACCGACACCCGACAGCCGCGGACTGCTTGAGGTGGGTCAGCATATTCTGGATGTCTTGGATTGCTTCAGCTGGGCTGCCGGCGTACTGCAGCTCCAGGGCCTGACGGAGCTCCTCCCTTGCAGGACCCGGAGTGCTGCCCGCGTAGAGCAGGCCCAGAGGTGTCTGGACTATCAAGGGAGAGACGACCACATTGGCATCTTGCTGATCCAATCCCAGCTTGGTGATGAGGCGCAGACCGAATCGGTGGTTCGAGCTGGCCGAGAACCGGGCGTCGACTGGCAGCGACGGAGCTAAGGCCAGAGCCACGAGCAGGGCGGGAAGTAGTCTCCAGGTCATGTTCTCGTTTCTGGGAATTCCGAACTTCGACTAACGCCAGAGATCCAGCTTACACACAACCAAGCTACGCGTTCATTCATGGAAATTTTAAATATATTGAGACATTGAGGTCATTGATTAGGGAGCTACGCGGCCATAAGCCGCGGAGATTTGCAAAGTTCTCTGAGAGATGGATTAAAAGAGAGAGAGAGAGGGTGAGCGAGAAAATAGCGCGAGAATTTATTCTGTTCAAGTCAAGTTCAAATTCTCCCTCTCTCTCTCATTCAATTTTGCCACACTGAAAATATTTCCTAGCTTGCAAGAAATCACAACGGTAATCTTGAAAAATATATTTTAATGGGATCAAAAAAACTTCCAAGAAATGGTTATCATTAAAAGTTTGACTTAATGCAAAACAATTTAAATAATAGAATATTAAGACGAACCACACTTCCAAGAACTGACATTAAGAGATTAATTTTATAGTATCTATAAATAATGAGGACATTTCCATTTAACATAAAAGAAAGACTGAATGGTTTCTTTCAAGCCATTAAAAATATTTGTGAATAAAGTAAGTGTTCTTAAATTTTTAGGAAATCATATTCTAGGGAAAAGATATTCATAAATAAATTCTGATTTTTAAGTATTCCTTGTAAAGTCCATTCTAGAATTTTATTCTTGGAATATTATGAAACTAAGCACAATTTTTTATGGCTGTAATAATGTTACAGAGAAAACATATCAATAAATGAAAGTTTTTTTTTAAATTTTTTTGTACTTAACATATAGTTATATAATATTTTAATTTCGGCATATTGTATTTTTGAAAAGATCGCAAGGATTTTACTACAGATCTAAGATACTACTATTTGTATTGGAGAAAAAAACCTTTGCAATTTAATCAGAACATTTAGGGAAGCTTTAAGGTTTCCTTTAAAATATGACCTCATGATGACCAAAGGCATTGGTTTTTACAACACTGTTTTTTTGCCAGTGTAGGCAACCTTGAATGGCGCTATTAATTATGCCCAGCTTTCAGCGGGTATTTCAATTACTCATCTCGTTGCCTTGCAGTTCCCTGTCGCCCTGCTCCCGCCCCCAGTGGCTCCTCCACGGCACTCTCCGCTTTTCCATTCTTGACACCGAATACTGATCTAGTGCGCATGAGGAAGTTTTGCTCATTTTGAAAAATGATTGAGAAATCCGCCTTTGATTTACTGCCGTAGCCGGAGCTGTGGCTGTTGATGTGACTGTGACTGTGGCTCCCAAACTGGTTTGCCAACTTACAGCGGCGAGCGGGCAAAAACCATCCGTTGGGAATACAGAATCGCACTCGGCTGGGAAAAGGCACTGCTGGGCGGTATCGGAATCTGAATCTTAAACGGAATAGGAATCCGATTCTAAGGCGGAATAGGAGGTCGCATCGGCCTTATCAACGCGGCGGCGCAAGGTTATCGAGAGTGCAATTTTCCATAAATACGTGTGTTGACTTTATTGTTTTGTTTTTCTTTTTTGCTCTTTAAAAAATGCAGCTACTGTGACTCCACTCTCTCCGGAGATTCGGAGACTCACTTGCTCTTGTTGTACATGGGGCTGAGGGTGGCCTTGCTGAGTGCGTCGGTGCCCGGGGCCATCAGTGTTGGGTGCTCTACCCGACCCATAAACAGCACAGAGCTGGCGGTGCGGATGGCGAAGACAAACGGATGGTCGGCTGTGAACTCCGGGGTCTTCTGAGGCAGCGACAGGGGTACGAACTTGGCAACTGTGGGGAAGATGGAAGGAGGGGCTGTTAACTGGCCCTTGGAGTTGGAATAGGCAATGAGAACTTACATGTTGTTGCCGCGGCCTCGGTTCCCGCCTCGTTCACATCGATAAAGGCCTTCTGTAGGATCTTCTCCACTTGCACCTTCCTGTCCAGCATTTTGACAATCTGGGCCTGGGGCGTGAACATCTGCCGGACGCCAAGCTCCTTCAGGGGAACAGTCATGTCCTGCTCGAACTCGAATTGGAACTTGGGGATTCGCACGGTGACGGTCTGGTTTTGCACACGGGAGGCAATCTTGTTAAGATCGAACTCGCGCCTGGCCAGCTGGCTCTCAAGGTACGCCAGGCCATTGCGCTGCTTGGGCAGTAGAATGAACATGCTGGTGCCACTGTTTTTGTAGGCCAGCTCCAGAACGGAGGCATCCAGCTGGGGAATGTCGGCCAGGCCATAAGGACCTTCGTTGTACATCATGGCCACGTTGGAGGAGCTGCCATCGGAGTGCTGGAACTGGTGGGACAGAGTATCCATTGTGGCGAATTCGTTCTCCCAGAGACCCCTGAAGTAGATGGCGTTCACCAGCAGGGCCTGCGTCTGGGAGTCCAGGTCTGAGGATGAGATCAAGTTTTGGATCTTGCCCCGTGTTTGGTCCTTGACCCATGCATTAATCTGGTCGGCGGAGTCCTTGCCCTGGTTCATGTCCACTGGCTGAATGCCGGCTCGGAAGTAGAACTCAGAGTATGGGGTGAAGCTCGGATTAATACCGCCTAGCTGACGGTTGTAATAGACCTTGGTGGCCATGGTCAGCTCGGCATTTCCCAGACCCTTCTTGTAGTCGATCAGATCCTTAAAGTCCACGGCCGCGGCCATCTTGTCACTGAACTCCCCGACTTCCTGCAGCTCCAACAAGGTTTTGCCCTCCGACGCTCCGGCGATAAGGCACATCATAGCGTGCACGGAGATAGGGGAGTAGACCATGTTACGTCGCGCGCCTCCTGTAGCGATCTTCTGGAAGAGCTTTGAGCTAAAGCGGTCCATGTAGTTGGTGGTGGCCGGAGGGCGGGTGGCGGCCACGGGGGCAGGCGCCGGCGCCCTACCCATTTCTACCACATCTATCTGGGGATCCCTAATTGGCTTTTGCGTATCCTGTCCGACCCCGGATCTTGGACCGATCTGTACGTCCTGCTGGTTGAAGTGGTGTTGGCCCGAAGGGTACTGCTGTTGTCCCTGCAGCTGCGATGCCCGATTTTGGTATTGATTTGGGTACGGATTTTGGAACGGATTTTGGTGCTGATTTTGGTTCTCATTCCAGTCGTAGGTTTGGGCTGCCAGGAGCTGGGACGCCGCTAGGAGGATAAAGACAACTGGAAGGAAAGCGAAAGTGCCGAGAGTTAAGAATTGTCGCCCCGCCTTACTCACTGTCCCCAACTTACTGGCTTTGTTCGCCATCTTTCTTATCTACTGTTCCTTGAGGGATTATTTAATTCGATTTAATTTATTCGTCCGAGCCGCCGATCAGCTCGTATTCAGCTGTGCTAAAACACTGATCGTTGTGAAACCGATCGTGAGCAGCAGAGCAGCGCAGCGCGGGTGAGAACCCACAGCTGGAGCTGCTGTCGAGATAACCTGTTCCAGAAGTCGCCGCCGCTATGTTCTGGGGAACCAGTTGATAATGAACGCACATTGAGCGCAGCTTTAGCTCTCCCGGGAAAATCCAACATTGCAATAATAGAAGGAATAACATACTGAGAGTTTAGTTATGACGAGGGTGCTTCAGCTGATTTTTCCGACCCCGGTATGTTAGCCCTCCATCCGCGTGTGGGCTGCACCTGTACCTATGCCTGTAATTTTCATCGCTGTGACTCATAAGCTCACGACATGGGGCGAGAGAAACCTGTTGAGATGCTCTATCTGGGAATCGGCAGCGACTCATAGCTCCTGCTTGCATTTCCTGCCGCCATTAGATAACTTTTCCATTTCGAAAACCCGAGACCCGCGAGAACTAATTACGTATTCCCCAGATAAGACCCCACACGCTTCCCCAGCATCGGTTTCCCTGCATTCTTAATTATGTAAACCCGAACTCCGAACCAGAAAAGCAGCCCCAACACGGAATGCCTTTCATATCAGCACTTGGCCTCCTCCCCAATCTGGTTTGCGGTGACCCAATTGCAGGCGGAGACGGCCGAATGTGTAAACATAATTTACTCCAATTAGAGTGCGATGCCACGCCCGTCCGCCGCCCCCCTGGAACTGGGGCATACGGGAGTGCATCGCTGATATGAATACGATGAATACGAGGTGGGGTGTGGGTGCATAGAATGCAATCGATAAGAGAGCGGAGCCCCTGGGCATGAGGGTTAATTGCAGTGAACCAGGTGGGCTTGGGTTGGCTTGTTTTGGTACACCCAGAACAAATATGCTGTATTCTTTAAAAACAATTCAGTTTCTGCGAGAACTTGTTTCGTTAAATTAAAACCACGTGATATTTTTATATTTCCACAATTTTTTCCCGAGTATATAGCTCACTCCGCTCACTTCCCCGCGTTTGTTTACTCTGGCTGATATGACTTCGAGTGCTTTGCCCGATCAAACAAAGACTATTGCCAGAGCCGAGACTGGGGTTTTGGCGGTATCTCCCTTACCGCTCCGATCCGTCAGTTTCCGTAGGGAGCAGCCAGCTGCATTCGGAGGCACTTTTCCGGATCGTTTCGAGAGCCACTTCCAACTGTCAACGCTTTCCGAGGGGAAGTGCTTCAGACTGTTAAGGAACAAACAAACAACACAATAAACAGCAAAGCTAAGCTGCTTATAAAAAAAACTCTTAAGGAAGTCGGGGGTCGATAAGGCAATATTAATACATATAAACGGGATCGATGCAAGCGGTAGAAAAACTGGATTCAAAAAGCTTCAACTTCTCAGGGGGATACCAGTTGTAAGCTAAGGAGAAAAACCTTTTATCAATAATTTATGGCTAATTTAAATTGAATTAATATAATCTGAATCTCAAATTAGAGTTCTTAATGTGGAATGTTTATTTTTCCTTGACTTCTTTTGATTTTAATAAATTCTGATTCTGAAAACTGAAAAAATTGTGTCACAGAGTCTACTGTATTTAATTAAAGAATTATGTTAATTACATTATTTAGACACCATATTATTTTATTGCTTTTAATCTGACTTAAAAATATAATAGTTGGTAATATAACTATTGTAAGAAAATAAATTTTTCTTGCTGCGAATAACCAGAGGCAGTTTCAATTTCCATCTGATCTTCACGCCTCGGTAATCGCTCCTATCTCCGAAACAGTTCTGCCCAATTTGCATCAATTAGTTGGTCAATTACCCAGACACCCCCGCACCGCGCGACCGCAGCTGGCGGCAGAAACCGCATGGAAATGGAAATATTGCAAGTTGTCACCGGAGTGCTGCCTCAATTAGTGGCAACATGTTGCTGGTGCAGCGACCGCAAGTGCAACTTGCTGCTGACTTTGGTTTCGGTCAGAGGCGGACGCTCAAAGGGGGCATGAATGATGAATATTGATGAATATACTATTATTAACTGACATGAGTCACATTTGATTTGCCACGTGGTGTTACTAGAAACCCCCTCTGTATCCCTGCCACTGTCTTTTAATTGCGTGACGACTGCATCAATGGGGGTGGGATGGATATGGATGCAGATGGCTTGGCGACAGATCAGATCGGAGGTGGCAAATGAGGAGTGAGTGCGGTCCGTTGGCCGTACTTACAACGAAATCGCATTAAATTACACGTTGGCCGTCCGATTTGCATAAAATTATGGCGAATAAATCATAGAGCCGCCGCCTGGGCCATCACAATATTTGTACATGCAATTTGCATCTCAGCCCGAGTGGTGTGTATCTGGCAACATGTTGCTAACGAGCCGAGCAAAGAGGTTTTTATCTCGGCATCCGGAGCCGCATCAATTAAAGCGACATAAAGGAAACTTATAATTTTCGTTCGGCTTAATCATAGTCGGCATTCTTTCCATAGCTCGCTTTCCCTTCCTTTTTCTGCGCAGCTTGTGCATTTAGCAGCGTTTATAGAAATTACCAGCCCACCAACTCCCCGTTCATTCTTTACAATTCTCCATGCACTTGAAGAAATTATTCTTTAATTATATTATTATTTAAAATTTGTTTGTAAGCATATTTTGGAGTTAGCCATATATACATATCTTTAAGACAGTAAGTGATTTGATGATGAGTTAAATGGGTTAACTTACTTTTCTTATTTGGCTGAGAAATTTCGTTTAGTACTAGGTAAACATAAAGTAAATATAAAAATAAATAAATATAATTTAAATTCTTAAATAATCTCAAGGTGTTGATATAGTTCTTACTTAAAAAGATTCTACAACTTGAGTTTTGATTTCTCAGTGTCATATATTTTTGGTAAAGATTTCTTGAAAGCTATATTATCTATTTTATTTTCCAGTGTACTGACAAAGAATGGACAGCATCCGCGGCCCAAGTTGCGGGGGCGGAGCTGGGGTAATCGCTGTTTAAATTTGTACTTCGTGATGCAATCATTCTGAATGTCAGAGAGACCAGGCTACGCCACTCGCCGTTCGTACGTTAGGCGCCATAATGGCCCAACACACACACACAGAGTGGAGGCTGGACTGGCTAACACACAAACACACAGAACAGTACACTCACACCCACACTCTCCCGGGGAGTTGAGGTCAGCAGGCAGCAGTTGTTTTCGGCCATTGTTCGGAGCTCCTTTTTTGGGCTGGGCCTGCACTCTGCGTGTTCTTTATTGATCTAAATTTGCGGCTTGCAAATTTGTGGCTCCTTTTCGGCGGATTTGCTGGCCCGGCCGCTTATCTGGCTTAGATGGCATTCCGCGCGCATTTCATTTCGGGCAACGGCAACGGCAACTCTTTCGATTTTTCCAACTGCCAAATGCTGTAATTTCCCTTATAGATTTAGGCCCGGCTAATGAGCTCGGATCTTGGGCAATGCAATCTTACCCGGCGGCCTCGGCGCGCCGTTAAAATTGTAATCAGTTAACGCTTAATTGGGAACGCTGCCACGCCCCTCCGGGGGCATGCAATGGGACCAACACAATGGGAATCACAAGTACAGATTAGGCGGAAGAACCGCTAAGCTAACTGCCAGCCAGCGTTTTGCTTTATTCGATGTTTTTACTACTTGACTTGCCAATACATCACGGGAAGCGGGGCAACGAACGAAAAAGCGGAACCCTTTCATTACGGAGGAAAACTAAAGCGCGCTGTTCGAGAAAACGAGAAAATAATGATGAATTGCGGTATTATCGCACGGTAATGCGGCGGGAAGGAGACCCAGACCCAGAACCACATAGAAAACGGCGGGAAACTGGAGCACTTGTGCACGAACAGGGCCAGAAAGTTGGACCCAGCTCGGCCCAGGCCCAAAACAAATATGTAATTGGCCAAGCAGCAGACACGAAGGTGCGCTGGTATCACGTACTTCTCGGCCTCGCAGAGGCCAGCTCAAAATGCATCGACACGATGATTTATTTGCATTGCTAAAGCCAAGAACTTCACACTGCAAGCAAATGGGGTGAGAAAAATCATACATTAATTACAAACCGAATAAAAAACAAATTTTATATGAAATCCTTCACAAAAATATGCATTTGAACTCGTTAAAATATCTCAAAAAAAGGTTAAGGAAGTTTTTCAAGTACAAAAGTTTCACTTGTGCTTTTATCTCAGTGTCCCAGAGAGTGGGGAAAATCCAACACGTAGCCGTGGCCAATTTCCTGAACAACTTAATTGAATTGAGCTGAGGGCCCTGAGCTCGGGGCTGTGCCGTCCAACGTCTCGTATACGCAATGCCTGCTCGTCCTCCGCTGTGCCTCATTTGCATTCTACACTCTGCACGCACAGCCATAGATCGAGCTTAGATGAATAAAGAACTCCTACTTAATTCCCTTTGTGTGTACTCGGCACCGCCACACCCAGCCGCCTTCAACTTTAGCATTTCGCCGGATAGCCGAGGCCTTCGTTCCCGTTTTGCAATTAAAGTTGGACTCGCAGAGTCCGCCCAAAGCCCAAGCCTCTCTGGCGGATCCACCCAAGACAATTGCATTTGACATTTGGGCAGCCGGGCAGCTGGCAAGAAACCAATTTAAAAGCGTCAGGGATTTGAGTTTGAGTTTGAGCTCGGCCAAAGCGTTTTTCGCTTTTGTTTCGGCTGGGTTTCTGCCATAATCCGGCCTAGAGTCGATCGCTCTCTCGCTCCTCTGGCGAAGCCGCACCTTTGTCGGCCTGTCAAACTGGAAAACTGGCCAAGAGCACTCGCCTAACCGTTTTGACAATTTACCACCAACTCGGTTGCGGCTGTAGACGTTGGTATCTAGCTCTATAAGCCAGGTTTATGCGATGTCCAAAGCATAAACATAATTTTATGTGTTTTGGGATTAAACAGATGTATGCATATTCAAGTAGCTGATGGTTTTTATTTTGACGCATTGAAATATAAATTCTGATATCTTGTCGGAGTTGGCCAGAGTACATGATATTCATCCCATAAACCAAGTCGGA